TTCTATACCTATACTCTGTTCCCTACTGGAGAATAAGCAAGTTTAACTTTGGCTTTTAGATCTGTTCCCAATGTTCACCAGTTCCGTGGTCCTAGTAATGAACCAGTCGTATGGTTCTCGGCTATGATTTCAGTGATTAGGGGACTACAGTAATGACTCTGTGACCAGATACTGGATATAAGATAAACAAGGCTTTTCTTTTAGAGTACAGAAGATCAGGACACAGTGAGCCAGAGTATACATATAAAGGGTGCTATGTTCTGAATGTTTGTGTTGCTCTAAAATTGTTATATTGAAATCCTAACCCCCAAGGTGATGGTATTAGAAGATGGGGCTTTGGGGAGGAGACTAGGTCATGAGGGTGGAGTCCTCATAAATGGAATTGATAGCCTTATAAAAGAGGTCCAAGAAAGCTCCCTTGTCCCTTTCTGCTATGTGAGGATACAAGAAGTTGGCAGCCTACAACCCAGAAACAGGCTCTCACCAGAACTAGACCATGTTGACACCCTGATCTTGGATATCCAACCACCAGAACTGTGAGCAATAAATTTTTACTATTTATAAGTCACCCAGTCTATGGTACTTTGTCGTAGAAGTGCAAGCAGACTAAGACAAAGAGTCTCCAGAAAGATGTACAATGACTCTTATGCTGGTTATTATCTTTTGTCCCCCTTTCCACAACCATCAGCAATATCCATGGCCACTCCATCTCTTTCCTGCTCTCTTCCCTGGGAGACTGACTTCTGTGGACTGAATTAGCCATGCTCCCTTGCCAGCTGCATTTCCATGAGGTCAGGCAAACGAGAGGCACCAACAGGAAATGTCAGAGTAGGAAAAGAAAGAGGTCAGAGTCCTTGTTTCCCAAGTGCTTATGTCAGTGCTTTGTCACTAGTGGTACTCAAGCCCTTCTGTGACGATACATCCTACCTCGCAGTCTTCTCTATGGTTCCTGGTTTTATTCAACTGCTATAATCCCTTCAGGATCAGTGGTAGTAACAATTTCTAACTGGTCCTAGTTTCTGGGTGATATACATGTATGATCCATTAATGTTTCTTCACTTGAATCATCCGGAATGCACTCTTTTTTTCTGGAACCCTGACTAATATAAATCCAAAGCTGTGGGATTTGACAGTAATTTGCTAGAAGTTATTACCAAACCTAAGGAAAATACTACAGTGGTGGAAAGTGGTAAGACACTGAAACAGAAAAGGAGCATCACAGAGGCAAAGGCTGGCAAGTCCACACCAACACTGTCCAGGAGATAAAGGATTTTAATCATAACCTTTTCATTTTTACAGGTATTTCTATGTGAACATTGAGACAAGGTATTGCTGCCAACAGGATCAAGAGTTTTAATTCCATTGGTAAGATCAATTTTATTGTGACTATCTATTTTAGCTCAGTAATATTAAAAATTCAACCTATCAAATGTTTCTTGTTTTGATTCCACTCTCACCAAGCAACTTTCTGACTATAACTTGGGTTCCATATGTAAGTGCTACAGAGAGAGAACATGCTGGTCATGGAGACTTCAAGTATTTCACCCTACTCTGTCTTAGCCCATGGTCCCTGTCTCACTCTCTTGAGAGAATGGCCTTCTTTAACTGTATTGCTAACACTGGATGAAGATGGGGCCCTGGATCATCTGTATTTCTATCTATGACTTGCTTTTGCTATTTTGAGATTCTGTACCCTAATACCTAACATGCTTAAGAACACATAGAAGAATATGGACTGCTAGAGTAGGGGAGGCAATCCTGTACCAGACCAGTTTCAGGGAATGAGCTTGGAACAGAATCTTGGTAAAGACCTCACAGAAACTTTTCCCTCACTGGGTGCAAGAGAGAATTGATTGCCCAGTGATTGCCCAGGAATAAATGGATTTACTTAATCCATTTACTAACTCAACCTATTACTTAAGCCATTAAGTGGTGTTTGGAGTCCTAGCAAACAAGAAATAAAAGTGTCTCTCCACAGCAAAGAAAGAGTATTTCTGCAGTCAAGAGCTGCTTTTTTAAGCTATTAAAGTGTCTTAATTGTATATATTTTGAACTATTCTTCAACTTCCTGTCTTATCCTGAATATCAGTTGCTTGGTATAAATACCAGTGTTCACGCTATTTTACATATTTATACCAGTCTTGCCCATTTACAATTAGTTTGTCACTTAGAAAATTTGTGACATTCTGTGCCAATATATTAAAATATCTTTCAGATGAATGTGTCAGGAAGAAAGGTCGACACGAGCAGCTGGCAAAGGGGAAGATAAGGCTCAAAGAAGAAGCTGCCCAGATAAGGTTCAGAGAAAAAGCTGCCCAAACTCTGCCCAGGTAGGGGGGCTCATATGAAGACAGCAAAGGCTTTGCAGGGACATAACTTGCTCACAAGCAGACACCATCCAGAGGCACAATCAGACATAACTAAGAACTGCCTAAATCACACCTCAGCAAGGGGAAAAGACATGCTCACTGAGAGGGATGGTTATACAGAAAGGCCTGTCAAATAACCACAGCTTGTCAGTCAAAGAGGCGCCTCTCAGCCAGAATGCAGTATATACGCCTCCTGCCTAAAACTTTGGTGCTTTTGTCTGCTTAGACTCTGGCCTGTTCCCCCTTTGGAGTGTACGCAAATATAACTTTCTTTTGCTTTTCTTCTCTACTGTGTCTCTGCCTTTCAATTTTTTCTTGCAGCTGGGACAAGAACTGAGGAGAATGAACTCAACCCATAACACATGGATGTTTCTGAGTATTCTGTGGCTGTTGAGAAAAAAGAAACAAGCAATCCATTTCTGTTGTACAATCATCATACTCGCAGACTGTGTGTCTATTGGAACTCTATGTTACGTATGGATGGACATGCTCATTCTACAAGATCCCAAACACACCTTTCCCCTGCCCTGACAAAGAATTGACAAATTCAGGGTTTCAAAGCAAATCTTTGGTGTTAAATACACTCAGGCAACATACTGACCTATTTTCCATAGGGTAGAGTGTATGGCTATAGCAAGAATAACAAGCTTTTGAATATCAAAAGACTTTTCCAAAATCATTTCTGATGATTTAGGAATATGTGAATCATCACCTATTGAATACATTTCTCCTAAGCATGTGGCATATACTTTACAAGAAAAGGAAACATGCTTAATGAATCATGCTTCAGTTTGCATTCTGTCACCCTGATTGTTCAAAGAGTTAAAGATCTGGCTGACAAACTAGAAAGGGTAGATAGCTTTCTTCAAAATTATGTGGAAAAGTTTAAAGAATTAGCTAGTAAACCATCATTCTCTTCTACTTAAACTATACAGTGAGGAGATGTATTACTTTTTCCCTATTCTTTGCCTGTCCTTCCCCAATTTGTTTCTCTGGGATTTCTAATGATATTCTAATAACAACAACAACAGCTGAGCACTGGAGGCAACAACAGCAGCTATCATTGATATATTAACTACATAATATGTACTTAGCATTTTGCTAAACCCTTTACAACAATTAATTTGCTACTTTGCTCCTTAAAGCTCGAAGGCAGGTACTGGTATTTTCCCCATTTTACAGATGAAGAAATGAATAACAAGAGAGGTTAAGTAACGTGTCCAAGGTCAAAACTCTAATTAATTGATGCTTGTAGATTGAAACCCAGGTCTATTTGATTCTGGAAGTGATGTACTTAACCACTATCTAACTGTGTCCCATGGCAGTAACGTGAGTGAAATTAACCTATCTCTGGGGAATCATAGGTGCTATGTGATTGGAAGGTCTGTGTAACTCCGGGGGTAAAATTCTGGGGCAAAATACCTTCTAAACCAAAAAATGGGCAGAGGAGCCGAACAGACAGTTCTCCAAAGAAGAAATTAAGATGGCCAACAGGCACATGAAAAGATGCTCCACATCGCTAATCATCAGAGAAATGCAAATTAAAACCACAATGAGATATCATCTCACACCAATTAGGATGGCCAACATCCAAAAGACAAACAACAAATGTTAGCGAGGATGTGGAGAAAGGGGAAACCCTCCTACACTGCTGGTGGGAATGTAAATTAGTTCAACCATTGTGGAAAGCAGTATGGAGGTTCCTCAAAAACTCAAAATAGAAATACCGTTTGACCCAGGAATTCCACTCCTAGGAATTTACCCTAAGAATGCAGGAGCCCAGTTTGAAAAAGACATATGCACCCCTATGTTTATCACAGCAGTATTTACAACAGCCAAGATATGGAAGCAACTGAAGTGTCCATCAGTAGATGAATGGATAAGAAGAGATGGGACATGTACACAATGGAATACTATTCAGCCATAAGAAGAAAACGAATCCTACCATTTGCAGCAACATGGATGGAGCTAGAGGGTATTATGCTCAGTGTAATAAGCCTTGTGTATAAAGACAAGTACCGAAAGATTTCACTTATTTGTGGAGTTTAATATCAAAGCAAAACTGAAGGAACATAATAGCAGCAGACTCACAAAACTCAAGAATGGGCTAACAGTTACCAAAGGGAAAGGGACTGAAGAGGGTAGGCAGGAAGGGGGGAGGGATAAGGGGCTTGAAGGGCATTACGATTAGCACACATAATGTAGGGAGGGCACGGGGAAGGCAGTATAGCACAGAGAAGACAAGTAGTGACTGTATAGCATCTTAGTATCCTGAGAGACAGTGACTGTAATGGGGTATGTGGTGGGGACTTGATAATGTGGGGAATTTAGTAACCACAATGTTACTCATGTGATTGTATATTAATGACAGACACAAAAAAAGAAAGCAACCCCCACCTACTCCTACTAGCTCATTGGCCATCAGTAGGAATGACTCCACCCGGCAGTATGGGTCAGTCATCATCCATGTGCTCATCCAGTCCCCTGAACAATGGCAGGGGGGGCACTGTTTGTTTAGCCCAGGGGCTTAGTGTGGACCTGCTACTGTGACCCCAGACTCTGTAGTACTGTCCCTACTCTGACACCCCTACCTCTCCCTCCCTGCCATCAGAGAACTCACAGAGACAAACATATCTTTCCATGTTTCATTGATTTTATTGAATCATGACCATCTGTGTGTGCCGTTGGTGTAACATTTGGCCACTCTGGTTGGCCGTTTCTCCATAGGCTCCTTCTTCTGGAGACCACAGATAGTTAGAGGTCTCCAGGCCTCCCCACTCACAGTGTGTTATTTGGGTCAGCGGAGTTCCTTTGTGTCTGCTGGTTCAGATCCAGCTGAAGCTGTGGTTTTGTGTTCTGATTCATTCTCTTCATCTGTTTCTGGTGATGGACAAGTTACTGGTGATGTTTCTATCTTCCGCTTCCTTGAATAAGTAAGAGCTGTTTCCGAGGAACTTTCACCTGCACACGTGCGCCGGGGCATCTCCTCTTGCTGAGGTGTGTTTCAAACCTGGATGAGCAACAGAGTGAGCACAGAGGGCATTAGTTTGAGGAAAGAGGAGGGAGGCTGGTTAGGAAGGGGGCTTCACAGAAGGGGTGCAGGCTGAGGGGGGGGGGTTTATGCCGAACAAGGACAGGGTATGGGTGCTGGTGGGGACATCAATGGGAAGGAAGAGGAACATGGGTAAGATCATCTGACCTTGGCACTGTCTCTAAACGTGAAGTGACAGTGGGTCATCCTCTTTTCCTCTTCTGGAGCTGTTGTGAATTGTTTTTCAAATGCTTGTGGTCAGCTGTTCCCCACTTGTGGTCAGCTATTCCTCATGTGATATTGGTTGTTCCCCACTGGAGATTGGCTCATCTCCACTGGAGGTCAGCTGTTTGAGGCTTGGGTTTAGCTGTTCCCCACATGTGGTCATCTGTCCCTCACTTAAGGTCAGCTGTTCTCCATTTGTGCTAAGCTGTTGTCCACTTGTGGTTGGCTTATCCTTGCAGGGTGCTGACTGTTTGTCACTTGTGATCAGTTCTGCCGCATTAGGGGCTGCTTTTGCATTAGAAGCTGGTTGTTCTTCAGTCATGGTTGGGTTTTCCCAACCTGTGGCTGCTTGTTCCTCACTAGCATTTGGCTGTTGTCTGCTAGAGGCTGGTTGTCCCCCACAAGGTGTGGATTCTTCAAAATGTCTCAAAGTCTTCTCTGACTCATAAAGGACCTCCTCATTCATTTTGAGGCCAACTACTTTCTAACCCAGAGCTGCGACCCTCCCTATATATATGTCCCCCCATAAGTGAAAGAGGAGCACACCCTAACCTATTGTTTGGTCATCAAGTCACTGCTCCAGCATCCTGGGTGGCATAGGCATCACCAAGCACCACTCATTGTGATGCTAGTGTTGGTGGCTGGGCAGGCTGAGCTGTGGGAGAGGCCAAGATACTCTGGTTGAATGAAGGTGGGGCTTGTTTAGCACCCGTTAAAGATGTATCTCAAAGTGACTTTCTACCTCTTATCCTCTCCCCTGATTCAATGTGTCATCAGCCACAGTTCTCATCTTATTTTACTTCTGGGACAATAAATATCCTACCGCCCTTCCTTCTCCTGTGCCTTCCTGGAGAAACTGAGTTTATCTCCCTCTTGTGACAAGGAACACTAGGGGAAGTCATATACATGTAGAGCTATATAGCTAGCTTCCAGTTTCATGGAAGACACATTTTTGGGAAACAAATCCTGTCCTGTCCATTTGGCTCACTAGGTAAAGGATCTTTCCTTCAGGATTGTAGTCTCAGAGGAAATAGGTCATATATTCCTCATTGTAATAGTAGGTCCAGCCAGGTTAGGTCTTCACCTGAACACATGCCCTTTTGCCTTAGTGGTTCTTTCCTGGGTTTCCTATATACCAATCACTTCCTGGGAGCTACAGGTTGCTTACTTACCCAAAGTACATTGGTACAATATGCTTAGTTCCTTAAAAAACTAAAAACAGAAATACCATTTGACCCAGGAATTCTACTCCTAGGAATTTACCCAAAGAAAACAAGATCCCAGATTGTACCCCTAAGTTTATCGCAGCACTATTTACAACAGCCAGGATACGGAAGCAACCTAAGTGTCCATCAGTAGATGAATGGATAAAGAAGATGTGGTACATATACACAATGGAATATTATTCAGCCACAGAAGAAAACAAATCCTACTATTTGCAACAACATGGATGGAGCTAGAGGGTATTATGCTCAGTGAAATAAGCCAGGTGGAGAAAGACAAGTATCAAATGATTTCACCCATCTTTGGAGTATAAGAACAAAGAAAAAACTGAAGGAACAAAACAGCAGCAGACTCACAGAATCCAAGAATGGACTAACAGTTACCAAAGGGAAATGGACTGGAGACGACGGGTGGGAAGGGAGGGATAAGGGGAAAAAGGGGCATTATGATTAGCACACATAATGTGCGGGGGGGGGGGAGGCACAGGGAGGGCAGTATAGTACAGAGAAGACAAGTAGTGATTCTATAGCATCTTACTAAGCTGATGGACAGTGACTGTAATGGGGTATGTGGTGGGGACTGGGTAATGGTGGGAATCTAGTAACCACGATGTTGTTCATGTAAGTGTATATTAATGATACCAAAAAAAAAGGGAAAAAAATAATGGATAGGAAAATCAGAAGGAGGATAAGTAAGGAAACAGAGGACTTGAACAAAAGAAAAAACCATCTATATCTAACAGACATATTAGAATACTCAGCCCAACAACAGTATATGTATTCTTCTCAAGTGCACTTGGGATAATCTCCAAGATGTGTGAGGCCACAAATTAAGTCTGAAGAACTTAAAAAAAAGAGACTCTGAAGAGCCAGCATAATTTGGGAAGAGAACAACAAAGTTGGAGGATTCAAACTTCCTGATTTTAAAATATATTAGTAAGCTATAGTAATCAGTGTGGCACAGGTAAATAAACCAATGGAATAGAATAAAGAGCCCAGAAATATACACTGATTTATATGGTCAAATGACTTTCATCAAGAATGTCAAGATCACTCAATGGGAAAGCACAGTTTCTTCAACAAACGATGCTGAGGAAACTGGGCATCCACGTGCAAAAAGTATGAAATTTTACCTTTATCTTAACACCATATACAAAAAATTAACTCAAAACAGATTAAAGATTTAAGCATAAGATTTAAACTATAAAACACCTAGAAGAAAACATACAGAAAAAACTTCATGACATTTCACTTGGTAATGATTTCTTAGTTATGACACCAAAAACACAGGCAAGAAAAGCAAAAATGGAGACTACAGCAAACTATAAAATTTGTATGCATCAAAAAGCAACCTGTGGAATGAGAGAAAATATTTGCAAATCATATATCTGATAAGGGGTTAATATCCAGAATATGTAAAGAACCCCTGAAAGCCAACCAAAATCAAATAACCCTATTTAAATAATGGGCAAAAGACTTAAACAGGCATTTCTCCAAAGATGTTGAATAAATGGCTAAAAAGCATGAAAAGATGCTCAAAATCATAATGATCAGAGAAATGAAAATCAAAGTCACAATGAGATATCACCTCATGAGATGTTACCCATTAGGTTGGCTACTATAAAAAATAGAAAATTACAAGTGTTAGCGAGGTTATTTAGAAATTGGAACCCTTGATCACTGATGGTAGGATTGTAAAATGGTGTAACCACTATGAAAAACAATATAGAGATTCCTCAAAAACTAAAAATCAAACTACCATATGATCCAGCAATTCCACTTTGGAGTATATATCCAAAAATAATTGAAAGAAGGATTTGAAAAGATATTTTCACACCCATATCCATAGCAGTACTATTCAGAATAGCCAAGGAGGAAGCAACCCAAATGTTCATGGAAAGAAGAATAAACTAAATGTGATATATACATACAATGTAATATTATTCCACCTTAAAAAGGAAAATTCTGTCACATGATTACATGGATGAGCCTTAAGAATATTATGCTTGGTGAAATAAACCAGTCACAAATAGACAAATACTGTATGATTCCACTAATATAAGGTATCTAAAGTAGTCAAATTCATAAAAAGAGAGAATAGAGTGGTGGTTACTAGAGGATAGGGGAAGGGGAAAAGGACAGTTGTTATTTAATGCGTATAAAGTTTCAGATTTGCAAGATTAAAAATTCTAGAGATCTACTTCATAACAATGTGAATATACTTAATGTTAGGCTGGAGGAAGGAAAAACCAGGACATGCAAACAGAACAGAGAGATACCATAAAAGGAGAACAGACCAGACTCCAAGGTCCATGCCTTATATGGAAAGGAGACAGCTCTTCCTGAATTCCATCCTTCTGATGTGCCAACTAAGACTTGGATGTCAGCCTCCTCCCCCTTGGAAGGAATAAAAGTTTCTACTTGTCTGTTATGTCACCTTTAGCCAATCATACCTCTCCATGCCCCCTAGGATAGCTTCCCACTCCTCCCCCTCCTAACCCCCTTATAAGCCCCCACCTCCCTGACCGGGTGTGACTTCCCCAGCCTGTGATAGCCAGACCGCTGAACATCACCCAGGAATTAGTGTTCAAATAAACTACCTGGCCCTTTGTTGCCTCTCTTTGCCTGCTTATTTCAGCTAGAATTTACCTTACACTTAATACTACTGAACTGCATAGTTTAAAATGGGTAAGATAATAAATTTCATGTTATGTGTCTTTTACCACAATAAAAAAAATTACATAAATTCACGCATAGGATAGATACATATCAACTCAAGGACAATAGTTGTATCTGTGGAGGGTAAGACATATATGGAATTAGGGAGGGGTAAAATTTTACTTATAAATAAACCTGAATCAAATATCAAAAACTTTAACATTTGTTGAACATGAATGGAGAAAACATAGATGTTTGCTATATTATTTTCTGCACTTTCATATTTAAAATATCTCATAATTATACAAGCATTCTTTTCAAATCCCAAGATTTATAAAATGTACTGTCTGAGGTTTCACAAATAATAAAGGGAAAAGGGGATCTTAATCCAGGTCTACCTAATTCTAAGCTCCTTAAGAGGAACAAACCCCTATTCTAAACTAATGGTTATATACATTTTGACTTACATGACTGAGAGGACCTAAAATGGTGACCCAATTTTTCTTCTCATCAAATGGGAGATCAGCACTTTTCATAGTGCCTTGACTAGAAAATTGATAACCAGGTAAAAAAAAGTGCTTGTTGGATATCCTCAATGATTCCAAATGAATTTCTTTCTAGTTCTTACTTACATACACCATATCACTCTTATCCTCATTTTACACCTACTGTCTAGTTATCTATTATGAAATCCTAAATGCCTAGAACTTTCCCTTACATTCTTCACTTCTTAAATCTGTATCCTTGCAGATCTCAAACTTAACTAAAAATGTACACAGAATAGTTAAGTTAGACAATAATGCTGGTGTAGGGACATGCCCAGGAGTTTAAAGTGAAAGCCAGTCTCCATCTTCTGTGCATTATGTAAGAAAG